CTTTCGATGGAGTGTATTTGTCTGGGTCAGTCAGATACAGTATCATCGAGTTAATTGCAGGATCATCCAACTTCTGAAGTTGGATGATGTCTGGGTCAGTTGAAATTGACTTTTCATATTTTAAAAGAACTTGGCGAGGTTTGTCTCTTTCTTCATCAGATGTCAGAGTGTCGGCTTGAGCGACCACCTGTTCAATCTGTGATGAGACTGATGAGGGTTCTTGCTCCATGGGGAGCTCCAACGAATCCTTTTCTGAGTCGACGGACCTGTCTATGGGCAAGGCACCATAGGTTTGAGGTCCTTGGTCGACATCATTGGTTGAGAAAAGAGCGATGGCCTGTGATGGTTTCGTGAAACATACTGGCCCAGTGTCTTGACTCGGTACCAGATTATCTGGGAGTCCTCCCAGAACTGGAATGCCTAGTTCAAAATCATGAAGGTCAGGTTCTAAGTTTTCAGTTTGCGATGACTCATCATCGTTTGTGTGTGAGTTTATCCCCCCTTCGTCCGATGAGGGGTTGTTGGAGGCAATAACAGCAATGTCTTGGTGTGTTTCACCAACATCTGTAATGTTGTCATTCGCGCCTTCAGAGTTAGTAGCGATCAGATCACTACATTGTGCTCCTGGTTTGGTTCCCATTTCAGCGTGTATCAAAGTGTCTAAAAACCTTTGCATGTCCTCTGTCTCTTCCGAGCTCAGAGGTTTAGGGCCTTGTTCCTGGAACTTTTGTGATTTTATCGCCTCGGGACGTTTCGTCCGAGGTGGGAGGCGGCTAGGTACGTCTTTTGGGGGTTCCTCTTCGGATTTCCCATGATAATATGGGTCCTCTCGGTTCCCATATCCTTGCGTCCTACGCGTGTCCCATGTACGATAATCACGTTCATCCTCTGAAAGAGGAGCCTTTTTGTCCCAGTTTGCACCTTCATCACGTGGTTTTTTAGTCTGAAAATACTGCCTTTTCTCGCCTGTTTTAGGAGGAGGTGGCGTCGCACGCCTTCCTTCCATTTCTAGGGAGTGGGGTTTAACCTTTACACCAGGAAACACCTCTATGGGCGTCTTAGCATGAGAACGTGCCTCAAACACATTCACAGCACATTGTTTAATCTCATTTATGGATTTTTCTCTGAAATTTGCCATAATTTGTACTGACATGCGTATGTCAGTGTGGAGATTTTTGCTGAAAACAAATTTAAAATTTTCTTCTTCCTCCATCCCGGTTTCATTTCTGTAACCAAAATAAGCTTGGAAGATTCTTTTGTAATAGACCTTTGGATGTTCATTCTTGCTCTGCTTGACCTTTTCTGCGGCTGGGTAACCAGCAGGTCCTGTGCAGGGGTCATACTCTTTGATCAGAGCTTCACACAGAAGGTTGTAAACTTTTCTCGTTGCATCAGGTAGACGCTCGATGAAGGTGAACACCTCTCTGTCCGAAGTGAGTCTTATCAGACTGATCTTATCCTCTACCGTAGCATTAGGATAAGATCTCAATCTGAACTCCAGTTCTCTGAGGTACGCTTTTGTTCCAGATGAGCCCAACGGTCCAGGAACGAAACATTGTACATATTTTGAGATTTTTTGCAAATCATCCATTGAAGGAGACAGTTTCCATGCACTCTGTTGCATGTTTTGTGGAGGAGACCTGTTCAGGTCTGTTCCTGCCACTTTATGTGAGGGTGGATTACGAGCAGGAGGTGCAACAATATCTTTCTGAGTTGGTTGTGGGTTACCTGAACTCTGTTCCCGGTCTTCTCTGAGTTCCAGACAACCTCGCCCCACGTCAGAAATCTTGTTTGTTGCTGCTCTTAGTTTTTCTTCACATGTTTTTAAGCGTTCCTGTGATGTATGATAATCACTTTCTAAACGCATATTTAGCTGTTGCAATATGTGTTTATCCATTCTGAGTTCTTCCCGATCTTTGTTAAGCACATCTATTTTGCTATTCAGCGAATCAATTTCTGCATTTGCATTTTGCTGTGATTGAAACATCTGTTCAGAATGTTTTTTTGTGAGGACTTCGTGTTCACTTTTAAATTGAAGGAAGTGTTCTTCAATTTTCTGAACCACCTCTTTTTCACTGTTTAACCTTATTGCAAGGTAATCAGCTTTCTCAACAACCGTATAGAATGATTCTTTCAGCAAAATTGCAATTTTAGCCAGCTTTTCATAGTTTGGCATTGTAATTTCTGTAGAGGTCACACTTTCTGCAACCTCCTTCAGATTGTCCACTAACTCTTTTGGGTTCATGCGCTCTGCCTGTTTATCATATGGATGTAAGGAATCTGTCAGAAGCTTCAACGCATTCTTTAAACAGTCCCTTATCCCGTAAGCATCAAAATCTTTTCCTAACACACCTGTCATGTTTTTCACTGTGTGGCACTTTTTCTGTTTAAAACAGTTGCAGGCTTCAGATATTTTACAGGTAAATATTTGTATTCGAGTCAATGAGTTTTCACACTATTTTAGCTTTTTGGGTTTACACAGAAGTACTGTTATAAGTCAACTTATTCAAATGTGGGTACCTTTCTCAGGTTTTACCCCAATTCATGAATATTTAAGTAAATGCTCTCTGGCAGTGTTACTTTTATGTGCTTATTTTTCAACAGATATCAGTTACCAAGCTCTTTTTAGTGTATTTTACTCTAAAGCACTGAATTTTTTATAAACCTGCACTTTTTCTAAAAAGTCTCACAGCAAATCAGTTTAAAGCGTTTTTTAAACCGTTCTGTTCCAGAAATTTGCTATTTTAACAGTTACTCATAGAACTAAGTTGTGAAAAGAAAAAGAAAAGTTGATGATGTATCAGGATTAATCAGTCCTTCCTCAGAAAAACTGTTATTCCTGTTGTCCTCCTGTCAGTGGCTTCTATTTAAAATTAAATAGGAAGATTTATTTTTAGGTGGCAACTTAAACAGAAAAGTTTCTTTTTCCTGATAAGTCTACTCTTATTTAGTGATTTTGCAATTAAACGTGTATTATCTTTCAAGCAAAATGAGTAAACTTTTCAACTCTGTGAATATTTGAACCGTTTTTATTTTTTAATAAGTTAACTTTTATTTTGTACCTTATTTTTAAGGGATTACCAGTGAATAAAACTTTTTGGTAAATGCTCTTTGCATAAATACCTTTATAACTTTTAAAATGCAAGATAACAGTATTTATTCAGCTTTGAGGAACGTTTATTAACTCAAAAATGCCTTTTAGAAAAATAAAAACGTTTAATTTCACTCTTTAAACCTAAAACTGAAGTGAAACTGTGATTTTAAGTTTCTCCAGGAGGGTGTAGTGTTTAGCTTTCTACCAGCAGGAGTCTATGACGACTTCCTGTGACGTTCGGTTGACATCCTGTTGTTAGCCGCTTAGCTTAAAGTTAGCTTCGGCTAAACTCTGTTAAAATCAACGTTTCTGAACGAATTTCAGCATAAACGTGGCGTAGTTTCAACAAGCACGACTTCTATGCATGAACATGAGTTTTCTGGACATATGGCAGCTTTATTTAGTGATTTTAAGCGTAGTGAAGGCTCCGGTCGTTAGCTGTTAGCTTAAAATTAGCATCGCTAGCGTTGTTTAAAAACATCATTTGATGACGGATTTTAAACTCTAACGTGGCAAAATTTCAGCGAGTATGCTTCGAAGAACTTAACCAGCGTGTCAAAATACACTTTTAAAGCGCTTTTCAGCTTTAAAAAGCAGATTTTATTCCCTATGAAAACGAGTTTCATTTCCGGGTCACTGACTGACACGTCTCTCATCCAATGAGAGCGTTCCACGGCAGCAATATTCAACCAATCAGGAAACGTTAAAGCAAATAGCATGC